CAATATTTTTATTGCATACCGCCAATAATGTTAAGTAACATTTGAGGACCATGTGGTAAATAGACGCTATTTCTTGATTTTGATAATTGATTTGCAATACCTTCAGCGACTTCAATTCGTCGAAGTTCGATTAAACCTAACATGAATATTAATACAAAGTAAGGCAGGATAATAAAAGATATCCGAAAATTTACCATCACCAACTTCATCTAAAGCTTTGCCAATCAAATCAGTTGTACGAGCATCACCTTCTTCTGCAATAACATTTGCTTGACGACTTTGTTCCATCTGTTTTTTTTTATCAAAAAAAAACAAACCCATACAAATTTTTTTCTTGTTGATTTACTTTTTCGACTAAAAATCGTTGTTTTTCAATATCTTGTTGTGCAACTTGTTTTAATTCAACACCACTTATAAATTCAGGTCTAAAACTTAAATGTGTCTAGTTTAAAAAAAAAACAATATAATCAACTCGAGACTCTTTTTTGTTGTATCTTACAATTGAAATATCATCAAGTAATAAACCAAATTGAGCAGCACGTTCTGTTAATAATTCACTAATACGTTGAAAAATAAGTGTATGTTGTGTAATCAATTCAATAGCATCAAATTGAGACTTAGTACAACAGATTTTAAAACTTCATTAATAATCGATGGTAAAACACGTTCTTCATAATCTAAACCCAAATTTTCAAAAAATTTTTGGTAAAAGTTCAGCTCTTGGTCGATAAAGAATACGTAATGTTATATTAATTGTTTGTAAATCTAAAATAAAAATAATAAAATGTAATTTATGCATATTTCATTTATACGAAGAAAAAATAACGAAGACTTCCAGTTTTAAGTTTTATGAAGCATCCTAAGATTGGTGAACGATGACAGTGTAGAGGTGTAAACCGATCAGTTGAGTCACCATCGATGGCCGCAAAATTCTTCTTTTTTTCGCGAGCTTACATTTTCCTCATGTTCACCTCTCTCCTGAAGTTGACTGTTTTCTTCCAGCTTTTATACCTTTTATTTCTGTTATTGATGGAACAGATCGTGGTCGTGTACGAATATCAAATATAATTGGTCTATGAAGCCATGAAATCATAAAATGAGTTCCTTGTTCAATAACACCTAGTTTAACACCTTGAAAACGATCAAAAATAACAGCTCGATGACCACCATCAACTAGAATATATTTATATTTAAAGAAAACAAGTTTTTTTTTTAATCTTTTCATTACTTACCATTATAAAATATAGAATTAATCACACCACCACCGATGCCTAAACCAATATCAATTCTTCCTAAAACACTAAATTCTTCTATCGAAATAAAATATTATTAAATAAACGAGATAAAGCTATTGTCTTTTTTTTCTTCTAAAAGAAAAACATGCATAATTATAATCAAGTTAAATTTGTTTAGTTGTTTTGTTTTTATTAGCAAATAGTTTCAAAAAACAAAACGAAACCATATGAAAATTCTTCATATCTCTATCGATAGAAAAAGAAAATGCATCACTATTTAATCTATCTATCTACTACAATAACAAACCAATGTAATATATACATAGAAAAAGATTAAATAACAATAAACTTTGAAAGCAAAAAAAAAATACATGCATACTTTTAAACAAATCGAAATCCACTTGAAAAAATATGAGCACCGTTCAGATATTGTTCACCATTGGGTTTTAATGAATTTGATGTATCACTGTTCTTTGCTACTGCAGCAGCAATTGCTTCGAATGCTGGAACAGTCTATAAAGAAATTATTTATATCATAGAAAAAAAAAATGTTTTTCAATTACTATAATTTGATTTTGTTAGAAAAAATTGTTGTGGAAATGATGCACCATCAACATGAAAATCTTCAAGATTTTTATAGTTTTTTAGAATTTCTTCAAGTTTTCGATTGATTTTTGGTTTTTGTCGAGAATATTTTAAAGATGCCCAAAATTTTTCTAAACCATATAATTGACCTAAATAGAAAAATTATTTTTGTTATTGGCACTTTTCTTTTTTTTCTTGTGTAATCTATTTTATTGCCAGCTTCATGATCACAACGAGTTTCTTGTTGAAAATCTTCAAATATATGTTGATGAAAATGTTTTTCTATACCATATGTATAAAATCGAAATAGACATTCAACACCATATCTATACATAAATAGTAATATTCAATTTTTTTTTCTTATTATTTTTCATAAGAAAAATGACTAAAAACGATAGAGTGTATCCATTTCCATTGATTGATCAGGACCAAGTTTAACGCTTTCTAGAAATTAGATCATTACAGAAAACAAAATGTATCTTATTTGTAAATCAACATAACTGTCGATTATAAATATTTTCTATGAAATAATAAAGTTTGGCGATTAGTGAAACTTAGTATTTTTAATCATTGACGATTATTTTATTGCTTTTCAAATTTATCACGTAGATAAGAATGATAGTATTTATTAAAAAAACTCCATAAAAGAGTCAAATCTTTGTTTTTTTTTGAAAATTATAGCAACAGATATATTCTCTATTATCTATTTAAATAAGAATACAAGTATTTTTAGACTCTGATTTGTACCGCAGAGTAGTTTTCGCTGTTGTTTTTAGATATGTTGACTCTTCTTTAGTCATTAAGAGACTCGTTTTCTTTACGTTCAATGTAACATAATTTCAATTTTTTTTTTACCAGTAGCTTGTTTCTCTCGAAATATTGTAAATATGTACTGAACTAATAATCTTTTTTTTTTCTCTACAATCAACGTTTTTTTTTTACCATCAAGACATTATTGTTTATATTTAAGATAAAGTGTTTGAGTAAAACCATTTTGTTTTAAAAGTGTATGAGATGAATGTTGAACCATAAAAATCATATGAATTTGAATTATTTCCATGTCAATAATGTGAATCATTGTATGATGATGAATATTGATCATAGAAATCTTGTTGTCGAGTTCTAAATAAGTAAAACTCATTTTATACTAATAATAATTGGCATTCAATTGTTTGTATTAGGAACAAAAAATATAAGAAAATTCGTCAAAAAAAAAATAAAGCAACACAAGTTATTTTTTTACTATATCCATTTATCTTACCCATATTGAACGACAAGAAAAATGATCTTATTAACTGTAATAAGTAAAGTGAAAGCAAAAAGTTTAGAAATGCAGTATTTTTGACTTCTTTTCTTAACGATAATAACTACTATCCATTTCAAAATATATTGTGCTCCGTTGTTTTTTAAATAACTTTTGATAGAAATATTACAGAGACCTGCGGTTTTCACCATTCAAAAGAGAAGATCCAAAGCAATCGAAATATATCAAAATTTCATTGGCTAATTGGATACGTTCTTGGCGAGAATTTTGGAAGGTTCCGGATCATCTCTCTTGAATGGTGAAAGCCGAAGATCTCTATGACGTTCCTATCAAAAGTTATTCAAAAAAAAACAATGGAGCACATTATATTTTGAAATGAGAAGTAGAACAAATCAAAGAATCATTAAAACATTTTTTTTTAAAATTGGCATCAGCTGTTTCTAATTTTCGTTGAGCTTTTTCATAATTATCTCTTAGTTCAGTCATTGTTTGACGAACAGTTGACTTATATTAAAAATGAATCAATAAATAAGCAAATACTTGTTTATCTCTAGCTTGTTCAATAATTTTTTAAAATTGTTCAAGCCATCCTTTTCATTTTGAATCAATAAAATCATGTATTTGAATTAAATCATCAACTGTTTCATTTAAAATCGACAAAGTACCATTTGTTCTATATGGAGAACGATAACAACGTGCAACATCAATCAAACGAAATTCTTTCAATGATTTTGATACATCCTTATCAATACTTTTATTTAACTTACAAAATCTTTATTTATTTTCCAAAGATCAGACAATACTTTACAAGAATCTCGAATATAACGAACTCGATTGTAACAATCAGGTACATCATCACTTCTATATTGATAAATATAAAAAAAACAAAATATTTTCATTTTTTATTTTCGAATTTCTTTGTTTAACCATATCGATAAATATTCTATTCAAACAAATTTATTTTCAAAACATTTTTATAAGGATCGATTAAATTTATTTCCTTAGAAATTTTTAATCGATAATTCGAACTATTTTATCATTATTTCGTCTTATAGAACGTTTCTATCTAGCAGTTAAAAACAGATTTTCGACAAAACACGTTCAAATCGGATGAAATATTAATCATTTGTTAGCGATCGTTCAGTAGAGAAAAATAAATTGTGCCAAAATTGTTCAGATCAATATAATATTTCTAGGATAGATTATTAAAATAATAAATAATCTTCGTTATCAATCTTCATATATAATAAGATAATCAATATAGATTCATCTAGAAATCGATTTATATAATGAATAACGAATTTCTGACCAAATGCAAGGAGATAGTTAACTATTTAAATTTAGACTTGAAAAAATAACAACAAAGGTTTAATATGAAAGTTTGGTTTTTTTTGAATTCTACGAATATGGAAACTATTCTTTAAATCTATTTAAATAATATAAAACGTTTGGTTAAATTTGAAAAATTCTTTGTAACAATTTGAATCCTCTTCAAAACAAATGATATTTTATTTCTAAAGAGTTTTTTTTATGAAAAAACAACAATATATAATTATTATCTTAACTCGACAATAATAACATAAAATAATTTCATTATAAAACTATAGAAAAATTTTTAACAAAAAAAAAAACACCAGCAAAGGGTTAACTCAATTAAATTAAAATAAATAAATTGAATAAAATCTTATTTCTATCAATATTAGTCTAACCATTGAAATGATTTATTATATTAATATAAGATTTCATTTATTTATTTAAGAGTTTGATTTATTTCAATAAATATCTTCCATTCGTATAATATATGTTAAATCGATCGAATTATTTCAATTTCTATTGAAAATAATTCTTTGAATATATTATGTCTTTCGAATATAGTTTATCAGTTGTTTTTCCCTCATTTCAATATTAAAAAACTATTTTATTAAATCGAAATAAACCAAACATAAATAAAGATAATAAATGAGATTTATTTTTTATTTTTAAATAGAATATATCAATTCTATATATTATTTTATTTCCGAATCGTTAATATAAATAAATCTATTAATATTATAATATAACCATATTCAATAGAATTACAATTCTAATAACAAAAACAAGAGAAACATCTTATTATATAAATCGATTATTTAAAATTTTAATTAAAATAAATATATATCGGCAAAAAATCGTAACGCGTCACCTCTGATGCCGGAAGTTCAA